TCCGCTTACATTATTAGGTAGTATGTCAGGTTGCCCGTAATGCGCAAGGGAAAGTCGAAGGCTGTTGCGCACTCATGCAACCCATCGCTCTTTATCAGCGGGCCGAAGATTTGGTACCATCCACTGTCTCCTCCAGTGCTTCTGGATGTCGGGACACCGGTGTCGGGTGGCCAATTGCCTCCCCTTGGAGGTGATAGCAACACACGGCTGGGATGTGTTGAACGATAAAACACTGTCTCCTCCAGTGCTTCTGGGTGTCGGAACACCGGTGTCGGGTGGCCAATTGCCTCCCCTTGGAGGTGATAGCAACACACGGCTGGGATGTGTTGAACGATAAAACAGCCTTCCGAGTCACACGGCCGTCATATACTTGCCAATGAGCTTGGCACCGGCACGTTGTAGAGCTTTGAGGGTGCGTGCTGAACTCAAGCAGCTCTGGAGAAACGTGTATTAGTCTGTCAACCAGGGAGTAGGCTCTGTCAACGTTATTGGTGGAGGCATGGTCAGGCGCGGTAAGGGTTTCTCGCGCATAATCTGCATCTGCCATGCGTGAATTCATTTCTGTGGTCTCTTTTTTTTTCGTCTTCTGGGTCCTGGCGAGGTTGTTGCAGGCTCGTGTGTCGCTGACTTGGTAACTTGGCTGCTGCGCCCAGGATCTACGTGGGAATGGTTGGCTATCTGGATGGCGGATAAGGTGTCTGTCGATTCCGTAAGTCCATTTTGTATGTCGGACCCCAGGCTGAACGCGGTATTTATTTGGTAGACCCTGCTGTCATCAACCAGAAGGAGGAGGCTGCTAGTGCGGCTGGGCATGCCGCGTTGTTTTTTCTTAGCAATGTTGCATCCGTCGAAGCCTCCAGGCGTTTGGCATGCACGAAAGTGAGACGATTCAGGTAGTTGAATGTGTGGCGCTTGTCAGGCAGGAAGCATGCTCCGCTGCATTTTTGGTATCAGTGGTGAGAGGAGCTTGCGTGGCTTTAAAGTAGGCTGGAGAAGCACTTCTAAAGGCTTGCTAATGCTTTTTCGCTCTAGTACCTCACATTCGCCAATTCTGTTTCGCTATAGAGCCCTCGGGACCACGTCTCACCAGGCTGTGGGTGGAATGCAGTAAGGATGACATGCCCTGCATTGTACATCAATATTTCTGCATCTGGCCCTTGCCTCTCCTCTGTGGGACCTTAACATTCGGTGCATGATTTCGAATGTATTCCTAAGCGGTGTGGCCACTGCATTTTGCACTGTACCTTTGTGCTCTTGCGATTGCGCAAGAAGGGTTTTGAGCAATGACTGCTCCGTATTTCGGCTAGCTGCTCGACGTTTTGTTGGGCAAACTCTCTTGTTGCTATGATTGGACCCGATTATACCATTTACTAACGGCTTCTTGATTCGACCTGCACCACATTGTTTGCCTTGTCGACTTCGAATTCACCAGCCTTTTAGAATGACGGCGAGCACTGGAGTTTAGCATCCCGGCCCAGGGTCCCACAACGCAGACCACCTTTAGATCACAGTCCGCTGACGCAGTATCATCAAATCGCCTTTCGACACAATGTTTCTGTGCTTGCATCTCGAGGGCTGAGGACCGAAACTATCGTTGTGTAGGTCCTTGATACGCTAGACAAGGTTATACCACTATAACAGGATCTAACGACCAAACGCTAGTGTTGATATTGAAATAGCAGTGATTACCCACAGGGATGGCATGGTTTATGAAGGAGCAATTAGTGATTACAGAATCGGCCCAAAATGTCGGACTGTAAATTTGTGGTAAATTAGGTCTTATCGTGAAGGAAGGGCCGAAAACCCGCGGCAAGTATATATACGTGGAATGCTCCCCCGACCACGATCACCAAGTGGCAGCACGTTTCAACATGGAGAAGAATTCTTCTTACATTGCTTTCCTTTGGCGATATATGCACAAAATCACCGAAAACAGTCTGCCTAGCCTATTCGTTCGGGCATGGCGGTGCTGGAACAAAGTAATGCGATGCCTCATCGTTAGCCTAGGACTCCGATGAGCAGATGTACAGTCACATGCTTAGAGCAAATGTTTCCAGAAGAATATTTACCCCTGTTTCCGTTTCCAGGTGTCCTGAGCACAGCGGTGAAGACTGCTAACGTTGGCGAAGTGATCTGACCGTTGTAACGTCTGTCTCTCCAAACCGCGCCGAACGGTAACTTCAGCATCCCCACACCTTTTCCGATACATGCGCTGGCACCCTAGCCAACTGGCAGAAACTTTTTTGTCTCTCAGAAACAACGCGCACATGTATATCAAAACATCCAACAACGTTACTCACCAGCCTACAGAAACCCTGCCGACGCCAGACCGCTAAGCCCTACATGCAGCTCAACATGGTATGAAGGCATGCGCCTGAGTCTGAAGCTACAAAGAGTATGATACATTCTAAAATAATGGGTGCATCTAGTGTCTGATACCTGAAGGGGAGTCGCCGTGGACGAAAGACGCCGACCCGGCACAGCTCCCGACGCCTAAAATTCAAATGGAATATAAACGGGCACCAGAGGTTCCCCGTAGAACAGAATGGATCTGGGAATATGGCATCTCTGCGCAGATGAAATATTCTTTGGATTAGCCGATATGTCCCGGATTGCACTGAACAATAGATAGGTGGCTGCTGTGACTGAAGGTGCCTTGCCCGTCAACTGCCTGAACGGATAAGTTAAGATTAGGTGGGATCTTGCACGAAAAAATTTAAAAAGAGGGAGAGCTGAAGTCTGCCTACACGGAACAACGCTCCTGGGTAGAAGAAGAGAACTAAGGCGCAATTAAGTATTTTGCTAGTAATCGCTAGGGCACCCCACTTCAAGGTGGAGGCTCAAAATGTGAGTTTTTCTAGTAAAAACTAGCGCCTAAGTATATTCGGCAGGGAGGCACACTGCGGGATCGCCGACTGGTTGTGTCCATCCAGTGAACACCAAAAGAAGCTAGGTCCAAGACCCGATTTGGTCGGGCTTGGGAAGTGTTGAATGCGGTGCACGAAAGCACGAGTAATTGCAGCTATATCAAAAGGGAGTGAATAGAGAATTCAGGAGGCCGTCTCATGTTCGAAACCTTTCTTACGCAGAGACAGAATTGTCATCTTTGTTCGTAGTCCCGTTGAAAATTCTACTTCCCTGTCTTCCCAGGGGCAATTCTTGTCCATATGCCTCTGAACAGGGACTTCGTGGTGAACAAACTTAAATGCGTTGGTTTATTCCCTGCTCCCATCTTCCTTACCTCGCCACACATTGGCGTGCCAAATTCCCAGGGCAGCTATGTGGCCCCGACCTGCCTCTAGAAACTGTGCCATCGAATGTTTATACGTCAAATTTTGACTTAGCGGACACGCCCAATTCGTTTTAGAATATTTGTGTGATGGACAACAGCAATGGCATGCTGAATTGTCGGGGTCCCCTAAATGAGCAGCACAGACCTGCGTACCCCTCTCGACAGCCGAGTACTATTTGATGGGGATTCTCCGCAAGAAAGTTTGGTAAACATACACAGATTTGTGAAAAACATAGGCAGAGGAAATGCTGCGTTGTTCACTGCGTCGTGCCTCAAACTGGGCCCCCCCTTTCGGGGGGGGTCCCCTCTCAATTGTGACCCGGCAGAGAGTGTAGGCGCTTCTCCAGATCCGTTTTCTTTTGCTTCCCTTTTTTCTTCCCATTGGCTCTAAAATTGTGATTCCATAAAGTTATTCAGCTTTTGGGGAGGAAAGGAAAAGAAAGGGAAGAGATAAAGGCCTTGGGCCAGCTGTGCGCGGAGTAGCAAGTGAAGGTCCCCCCCTGCAGCAGCCGCAGCGTTGCTGCTGTGAGCGGCTTAGCCTTCAGTTGCCTGGGCTGAAATACTTGATCGAGCCCTACAAACAAGCTCGCGCGTTTATTGCCATCCATGCAGGTTAACGGAGGGCCGGGCCGGCCATCTTTCTTGCGATTTGTTGCCCCAACCAAACACACGGCAGGAGGCTCTCTCACCTGGCCGTGCCAAGGACACGAGCGGGGTGACAAGACAACCTGCTAGCGTAGTTGTCACGATACCTACTTTCCTGGGGAAAATCTCCTGTTCCTCCTATCCTTGTTCCATTCCCTCCCCATAGAAGCATAAACGTACCCTCTTCAACAACAAAGCCGTGAGGCGGCCGCCCCAGGGCAGCGCGACATACTCTCCCCGCATCTCTGTTCCCCCTGGATCGTCTCTTCTCCTTATTCAATCTTATGCTTTCTTTTTCTTTATTTTTGTTCTGAAGAAAGAAGGGAGTCGATGGGCCAAGGGCCTAAAGCCTCTTGATGCACAAGCGGTGACCTCCCCCCGTCCGGCTGCCTTGCAGCAGTTGCGCCACCATTTAAGGGGCCCCGTGTTCTCAAGGGGCTAATTCCATCGTGTGCCCTGTTATCTTTTTGCAGTTTTTAACTTTCTTTCGAGATACGACGGGTCGGCCCGTCCACATGTGGACACCTGCAGGCAAGCCACCCCGCGGCGGCGTGTGAGGCGGTGTAGCGGAGTCCTGTTGGCTTCTTTCTTCCGCTTCTCCCTCTCTTTTCCCACTTACTTATCGGAACCTCTTCTGCGCATCGCGATTCTTCCTCGTCTGACCTTTACAGAAGGGGCTGATATCAAGGGCTCAAGAGCAGCCCCGCCATACGGAGCATTCATCTAGTCGAACGGCACCGTCGGCTGCAGCGACTGCTAGTTGAGTGAGGGGTTAGAATTGTGAGTTGCACAGTTGCGCTCTGCATAGCCTGTAAGGTTCGTTTGGTTCTTGTGTCCCCCCGGTGCCGTGGGCAATCTACCTGCTGTTTTCGCGCATGCAGAGTCAACTGTGGCCCCATCAGCAGTTGTTGCATTTCAGTCATTCCTCACGTGTGTCGGTGGTTCCTTTCTCTCCTGAGTCCACGAGCTGCCTTTTTAATGCATCTGGGGAAACAGAGAGATACGCATCAGCAGGATCAGTTGCAAACGAGTCAGCTATCGCCGAAAGCACAGCGGCAGACACATGCACAAAGGCAGCTGTTTGGAGCCCTCGGCTCCAGCCTCGATCGAGGCAACTCGCAGTTACTGCCTCACTCGAGAGTTTTTAGGTGATGAGGCTGCAGGCCTAGGAGCTGCTAAGCGTGCCCGGAAAGGCTTCAGGCCCGGCGGGGTTCCGCCCGGTGACGGTGACGCTACCAAGCGCTTGCGGGGCCCTGTAGAGGATAGCTTTGCTTCCACGAGTGCTTCTGCCGAAAAGGATGCTTCTGATTCGTCGGGAAGAGCTGCTAATGGTGAGGAAGACAGGTGGCGGCTTCTGGAGCAGCTGTCGCAGGCCATCCCAACTGCAGGGGCTTTGCTGCCAGACGGGCCACCGCAACCCAGTCAGTATGAGGAAGCCCCGCAGTCTGCTGCGAGCGAGGTGCTTGATTGGGAAGCCTGCAACCGCGCTCTGGATAGACTTGTCAGGGCCAGCAAACCCCAAAGTAACCTGGCTGTTGAGTGGGACTCCGGCTCTACAAACCACAGTAGGGACCTCGGTCTGTTTGAACTGCCCATTGAGACGAACACGGACTTTCATGAGGCCTCAAACAGTCATATGCATGACCACACAGAGCATCTGGAATCTCTTATGGGGCACCCTACGGAGTCTTTGCTTGTCGCCAAAGGGGAGCTGGGGCCCAAGCGGACTACTAGCAATGCAGCCGATCCAATGAAGGAGAGACAAAGAAGGGAACTGCAGCATAAGAGGACGCTTGATCTGGCCTCACAAATAGTGTCAAGGTTTAGGGGAGCGCGTCGTCCTGGTGTGCTGCAACTGTTGCACCGGTTCTTCTCGTGCAGCAGCCGGCAAGTGCGGGACCCTCAGGAACTTGAGAAGCTTGTGGGCGCCTGCTGCTACATCATAGCGCGGCAGCAAGGGGATGACATGACACTTAACGACGTAACTGCACAACTGGAGAGGCGACAGGGCTCTAAAGGGAGACAGCGCTGCCGCTGCATTAGCCGTTGGGTGGTTAAGGTGTGCGGCAAGCTGCAACTGAGGTGTCTGCCTAGACACGGGGACGCAGAGGCGTTGGCCTCGAATGCTCTGAGGCGCATCTGCTCTCATCTCAAGCTGTTGCTTACACAGCAGGAGCAGCAGGAGCTGCTGCTGCTGCAGAGTCTGAAGGAGGCATACAGGCAGTGCCTCCAGCAGGAAGCAGCAGCAGAACCCGTGGATGACAACAGCCAGCAGCAGCAGAAAGATGCAGCGCTTGCAGAACTTGACGACGAGGATTTGCTAGGGCTGCTCTTGCTACAGCAGCAAGAGGAAGCCGCTGCAAACCCTGTTGCTTCTGTTGAAAGTGGGTTGGGTTCTCCTGAAAGGGACATTCCTGATGTTGATGCATTCTTGAAGCAGTTTGACTCAGACTGCAGTGCAAAGAAGTCGCAAATCGAAGATGAGGCGTGGGCACAGCCACCGACAACAGAAAGCGTGGTGTCTTTGGGCCCAGACGGCTCGTTGCAATTGTCAGTCCCTCCTGGGCGAAGGGCAGGCAATGCAAGTTCCCGTTTGGGAGAGTGGGACTCCTTGGTGCCATCCGATGCTTCTTTGTTGGGAGGGGAGGCAACAGATCCTGCTGCTCTTGATGCGCAGATGCAGCAGCACGAGTGCGTGTTGCGGCTGCTGCGGCTGTTGCCCAGTGCACAGCGTATCAAGCTAGACCATTCGATATGGCTGCAGAAGCAGAGAAAGCTGGCGCTGCAGCAGCTACGTGAGCAGTCCACGCTTGTCATCAAGTGTGTGGGGCTTTTGCAGCAGCTGACAAATGTAGCATTTGCTGCTGCAGCCAAGAGAGGTTGTTTGCCCGCGCCGCCAGCCGTTCCTGACACCGCCAGTAGGGATGATATTGAAGCATTGGAGGCATCGCAAACTGAGGCAAAAGCGACAGAAGCGCAGCTAGGGATGCCTGCCGAGGGAGAAGATCCACTTGATGAGCACTGGGTAAATTTCTGTTCTGCTTGCTCCGTCATACGCTGCTTGTGTCCTTGGTGCCGAAATTGTGCGAAAAAGGCAGCGGATCAGCCTACAAAAGAGCCACAAGGGGGATGCCAGACAGCATTGGGAGACTACTGTTTGTGTGTCTTCTCCTTTTCTTCGCAGAGAGCCTGTGGAAGATGCGATGCGATATCTACGGCAGCCCATTTCGTAATCGTTTTCGAATGTCTCCAAGTCGGTGCACTTACCGGCCCTTACGAGGGTCACTAGTTGTGTTGATTGTAGCAAGCTACCATTGCCGCTCCCAGTCCCTTTTTTTTCATACATTCTCTTTATCATTGTCCCCCATTTGCATATCTCGCCTGTTGCAAGGTCGGTGTCTGCTGGTAATATAAGCAGCCTGGAGCTCTTTACGTAACAGCGATTGGCCGGTACATCTGTGTTTGCCGCTCAGGTTCCGGTTTTTCAACGTGTCGTCTTGGAAGCCCTCGAAGTGGACCGCCGTAGCGTCTACAACAGGCGTCGCGAGCAGCTTCATTTAGCTCTAAGCATTTTTCGGTTAGCGATAGCTGCCTGGCCTAGTTTCTTCCCCACATCTAGTTTCCCTGTTTCTCTTCATCGCCCTTTGTACATTTGCATATTTTTGCGGTATGAAGATAGCTCTGGGGAATTTATGCTCTGATGCTTGGTGCTGCAGAAGACTTCCCGGTGCAGGCGACGTAACAATAAAGACATTAGGGAAACTGTTAGTGAGTGCAGTTAGCGACCAGGAGACAACGAACAAGCTACTACGGATAGCTGAGACTGTGCCCTTGCGAACACCGGCTGGTGAGGGCCTGGACAGTCCTTCCGAAGAGAGACCAACTGATGGCTGTCCCGTCAGTGGTCACCTGAGCAGCCAAACCCTTTCCCGAATCAGCGCGGAAGAGCTCTGTTCAAGAGGCAGCGGCAGCGGCAATCAGCGCGAGCAGAGCCCCGCAACGCTTCCTTCCCCTTCTGCTCCATCGCGGTCTTCAGGATCCCTTGGGGGCTCGCTGAATACCAAAGATTTATGCGATGCAGCAACCGCTAGCAGCACTGCTGCTGCTGCAGCTCTGCGAGAACTGGAAGATGGCGACCCTATGCTGTCCGAGACACCGATGGCCCGTGTGGTGTCTCTACAATATGAAAGGACGCAGCAGCGATGGGTTTGCAAGTGGAGGGAGGGGCTGGGGACAGGCGGCCGGTGGCACCGTCGTTGCTTCTCTGTTGTCAAGTACGGGGAAGACGGGGCTCATACGTTGGCTGCCGCTGTAGCAAAGAAACTCAGGGATAGACGGAACCAAGAGGTAAACGGATTGAAAAGTGGAAGCACCCCAGCTCCTGATATTTCACCACCTGCAGCCGACGTTACTCTCAATGGCGGTTCATCAAAAAGGGGCCTGAAAGGAGCTATGCCGAGTGAGACACCCACCCCTAATTCACGACTCGCCGGCAGTGCCTGCCGGGCACGCAACAGGCGAAGCGCTACAACAGCGCGTGTAGCGGGAGCCGATGCAGGTGGGCCGACGCCCCATGACGCCGAATCATCGTACCCTTTTTCTCATATTGGCGAAAGCAAACGGGAGTCCGTCCTTGCAAATATTTCGGCTGACCCAAATCTTTCCACAGTTGTGGCGTCGGCTGCTTACAGCGATGAAATGGAACGCCTCGCCCAGTTGTTACGGAAGGCGAGAAGCAACCCGTTGCTTGCGAAGTGGTTGGATGAGAGGGCGCCACCTCCTGGAGCAGCGGCGCTGCGTGCGGCAGCCGAGTCAATCGTTCCTTACCTTTCACTTCAGGCGGAAGCAGACAAAGCGCCAGCTGGAGCTCCTGTCTCCTTTCGCCAGCAGCAGCACGCCCTTCACAGGAGAGGGAGAGTGACGGGAGCGAGGGAAGGCATGTAACTGGGTGTGCAACCCTGAGGATTATGTCAACTTGTGCACCCCCCGGCTCAAGTTTGCTACTCTTCAGGATGGTGTTGAGGCATTTCGGCAGTGCTTTTGCATGCACTTTGTACGTTATTATTAATGGGATTGTACAGAGCCGCAAGTCTGCGGTGGTGGCTATTGGCTGGCACATTGTTTTGGTCCCACACTCACATCGCTTGTTTTGGCAGTGGGCATCTTATATCACCTTCTTGTGAAGAGGTTTTGTGTCGTCTTCTTGAACTGCACTATCGCATGTGCGATGTAGTGACAAAATGCTTTTTGTGTTGACTGTGGGTGGCACGGGGCTGCGCAGTGCCCTTGTATGCTCGGGGCATTCTCCTATTAGCAGCGCGCCTTCCAAATGCTTAAGCTGGAAATACGTCCAAACGCTCAAGTGGTCTTGCATGCCTGCCGCATCGTTCATTAATGGCCCGAGCTGTCATTATTCCACGGCTTATCAAACTCAGCCACCTTTTCCATCTCTTGCATTGTGGCGTTGAACAGTTTGGGCGCACGCTTCATCACATTCGGCTGCGTCCCAATCGGTCTCGAATTTTGCAAGCCTGGTCGACTTTCTGCTCTTTTCTCCAATTGGCAAGAGTGTGAAGATGATGCGCGCAGTGGAATGACCCGAAATTGCTCATGGAGCAAACACTGACTATGCGGGAGGGGTCTCTTCTGCGCAATTTATAACCAATCGGTTTTACTACTTTCTCTTGAGGCGCACTCACCCACATTTGCATACACGCTTTTTCTAGTTCGAGCTGAATGCTTAATGGATTTGATGGGTGAACGAACGTGCATAAGCACGTTAACGGCATCATAGAACGTACAGGGCGGTTGTGCACAAGCCCCAGAGCAGCGGTAGGATGGCAGATGCAGCACGCTGATTTTCCCCTCCAGTAAAGTTGGGGTCGTACCCTCTCTCAGGTGTAGGGTATTCTGGCGTGAATGGGCCTGGCACAGTGTCAAAGTAGCTCATGGCGCGCCACATGCTGACTACTCCATTCGTTGCTAGGGCACCTGCAGAGAGTAGGTGAGAACCACCGGGTAAAGACGGCTCAGATTAACTTGGAATGGCATACTATACCCTCTTTATATCTTACGGCAAAGAAAATGCGCATATCACTCCTTTGCTGCTGCCGCCTCACCAGCTAAAGCTTTGGATCCCGTTACAGAGTACATGATGGCTCGCTCCACTTTTCTGCTTGCAGGTTCGTTACACTGCTGCCAGCCTACAGGACTGGATGCTTCGAAATAAGCCCACAGTGAGGCGGCCATTCCGGCAACTATGGGAGCAGCGAAGGAAGTTCCGTCGACGTATGTGTAGCCTGTAGCAGCGAAAACGTTGCGATGTGGTTCAACGCATTGCGGCAAAAATATTCAGCTGACTACTGCGCAGAGGGTGCTCCAGCCAGAACAATGTCAGCTAACAAACATCACCACGATTTTGATTGAAATTGTAAAAGCTACAGACTTATAGTCGTCTGACTGCCACCAACCTGTAAGCACAAAGTGGCCAAACGGCAGAGTGCACTTACAAGAAGTGCAGCGTCGGTTCCCTGAGTTCGCTCGGTAATTTGTCCCAGCGTATATTAACGTCCCAGGGGCAGCAACGTCAACACCCTCACTTCCGTAGTTGGAAAACGAAGCCCGGAAGCCAGCCACATCGCTCGCCATGACATTCACCAGCCCTCGTAGTCGGAACGCTCCAGGAGTGAAACTAAAACAAGTTAGAGCAGCAAACACTGCCCCAGGGACGTTTCCTTTTCTGCTAAAAATGCTAATGACAGCGATTAACCCCCTTAACGTCCCTAAAACCACGTTTTCGAGTGACAAAGTTGCTACCTCTGGGCCTGTATTTCACGCTTAGCGCGAGGTGACAATTGGTGACCTACTAGCACCCTTCGTGTTCATCAATGTTACAGCCCGAGTTCCCTGCTGCAGTGACTATCAGGTGGTCATGTTTGAGAGCTCTCACAAAGGCCTCGTATTCCGCGGCGACGAACCTGGAAAAATTCCGTAAAACGACCGTCGACAGAGATAGCATGGTGCTGCCATCCGCCGCAGAGAAATCCTAGCTGATGCCTTGTCATGCAGCTGCCGGTTTGATTTGACTGTGCAGTGTATTCGGCATCAGTCACATTGTATATGGAGTGTTAAATGGCAAACTAACTAGTTGGCGTTTGTTTACCCTGGGCCGCCGTACGAATGGTTTGAAACCCGAGCCTTCATCTTGACAGCATAGTCGAGAGCAGGAATAGTTGTAGACGTCCAAACACCCCTCCGGCTCCCCACTCGCAGGCACATTACAGTCGGATTTGAGAAGACTCCGCGACCTCCCCGGCCGTCATGTGCTCGTGCAGCCGCTACGGAGGTAACTAACGTTCCATGACCCGAATCATCCGTAAATGGGTGAGCGTTGTCTTCTACAAAATTCTGGGAAAACGCAGGGCAATACCATTCCATTAAAGAACTAAGCAATATCTGCGCAGAGCATGCCTTCATTCCCTCTTGGCCATTGCATACAAAACAGAAACGGAGGCTTCAATAGTTGAATAGATTGCATATTTTGCACTAGCTCCAGAGTCTAAGTTAGTTTGTCTGTGCACTGAGAAAAAATCTGTAGCCTTGCTTGTTACCCCCGTGGCAGCTCACAGCACATCATCGCGGAATCCTACGCAATGAGTCCCTTGTGACTCTACCTATACCGGTGCTATCGACGGAGAGCGAGGCACCCACCCCTACCATGCTTTCGTCATTTAACGCTTCCTTCGTTACTGTCTTAGCAGGGAGGTCCAGTATTTACCTACCCAACCAAAGCAGTCGTCAACATAACCATTTTCATCATCATCAACTCCATTTGTGCAGTCCTTCTCGCCAGGATTGTCCCAGAATATGCTACTAGCAACGTCGAAGTCGTCGATGAAGTCTTGGTGCAAGTAGCAACCAGTGTCCAACACAGCCAGTACCACGGGAATTGCTTCTGCAGCAAGCAAACGTGGGCAAATCCGTCATCCAAGCCATTTGGGGTTCATTGTTTGAGAACAATCCTAGGAGTCCCATATATTCCTCTCCTTTCATAGAGCGCGAATACACTACTTCCCCAAGTGCACGAATATGGAGTGTCTAGCCCTGCTGGACAGAGAATTCCAAACGTTTCAGAACCCTGTTGTGTGCTGCTTACTCGTGGCCGCTTCAAGTTTCTGCCAGACCTTGTCCGCCCCTACGGTAAAGTTTCCAAAGAATGAATGCAAGTACCATTGTCTCATTTGGAACGGGTCTCCAAGTAGGCCAGAAGGGGCCCGCAAAATCTGAGGAGAGGCTGAAATTTCGCTCGGCATTTTGTTCTGGTATTGGTGATTTGATTTCTTCTCATGATATCCTTGCCAGCGCAACTGTGAGGGTTTCAACCTCTGAATATCGACCTTGCGGTCTACAGACACTTCATCTACACACGTTACAGCAGATGCGATTATCTTTCCGAGGGCCTCCTTTGCTTCGTCGGAACCTTCACATAAGGATTCCGCAACTTTCCTAATGCTCTGCAAAAATCCTGGGGGCGGCAGGTGAGACTGCAGGTCAGAGGTGGACAGGACCAACAGAAGACGATGCACTGTTTCCAAATTCTGGCGTCCTCAAGCCAACTACAACTTTATATGTGCTGAAATGGGTGCGATTTACTGACAAATGCGAGTGTAATCATCACAGGGGCACAAGTTGATGGGGTTGGAACACGGTGTACACGCTACTAAAAAAACTAAAACAATAAAAAAACTAAAACGCCGTGTCAAAGATCTGCATCACTGGAAATAAGTAATGGGCGCTCACGTTGCTAATGCGCAATACATCTGTGTTTAGTGCTCCATAGTACGCTGCTCGCATGGATGGACCTTGTAAGAACCTAAGTCTAAGCCGATCCCGGCAGTTGGCCATACAGCCTGTGAGCGTCAAGCCTAGCCTGGCATGCAGGCCCAGAGCACGGGCGAAGAGCCATAGAGCCAGATGGCGTCCGTTAACTATGTTCCTGGTAGATTCTTCTTGCAAGTCGTTCGCTCCCACGCGATCTTGCATGTATACGCCACCCCGAAGCAACACTTTGCGCCCCTGCAAGGCGCTGTCTTTCTCCCCAAAAACTTGAAGAGGAACAGTTTCCCGAACACTATGAGCCTGCAAGACAGCCGGTACTTTTTGGGGCAGGGTCTTCAGGCACCCGGGGTTCCACGCAAGTATGAGCCTGGATGCCTTCTTTTCTCGACCTTCTGCCCGTGAGTCGGCAATATTCTGGAAAGAGTAAAACGAACGCAGGGTAGGACTTCGCTTCCATGGATAATTGCAACAGAGGCCAAGCAAACGTTAGTAATGGCGAACTGGTGGGGAGGGGAAAGGTTTCCATGACACGCCAGTAACTAACGGAAAAGGTGAATCTTGCCTCTCGGAATGTTTCTCGGTTCATGGATCCGAATAAAATGGCTCCTTTAGCGCCGCCATGTGGTTCGGAAGTGCTTGTACCGCACAGTTCCCTGCGGAATTCGGGGTTCTTGGGCAACCGTTGGCCCCGTTCCTGCAGGTAGAAGCTGGCGCAGAGGGAAGCACGGAGATGTTCCCTTCTTTGGGCTAGATCGTTCGGATGCCGCCCGTTTTGCTGAGCCGTTTCTAGAGGAAAGCTCTTTCTGCAAGAGAGTGAAATGATGATCAGAACTGCATTGAGGAATGCACTTTTCTTCACTCGAGAAATGTACATCCTCTCCCTCTACACACAGACGCAGGAAAGGCCCTCCTTTCCTGGTTAAAAAAGCGGACTAGTACAGTGTCAATTACTGTTATATTGTGTAAAGTAGTTAAAGCCCGTAGCTCTTTGTGGGTGCAGTACCACTGCATAATGATCCGAGGGTAAATCCGTGTGCTGAAGTGAATGCCGCGAAGGATAGTCAGTGCAAAACCACCGCAGTTTGATACATCCCGAACTCATTGGTTCATGCTTTCCTCAAGAAGTCATTCATAGCCGTTCGTTCATGCAAATTGTACTTTTGCTCCTAACGTGCTGACGTGGTGTCTAAAACTCTCGGTGGAGCAAGTGGTCCTAGTTGATTGTGCCTCGTTTCTGCAATGGGAAGTGTGAACGCCGGTCATAATTACTTCCGCGGCTCCTTCGCTGAGTGGGTGAAAAATGTGTATCTTGGCCTTTATTGGTTAAAGTACACTATTTACAAACATATTTGGACTCAGTTAATCATGTCTTGGAGTCAAACCGGAGCCTGGAGTGAGTGTTGCTATGAGTGAAGACACGTTACATGTGCTCGACGAATGCACAGATGCGTCGAGACAACCCAACTTGGTTGTACTTGAATACATGAAATAGTTTATACAGTGTTGTTATGGTTCTATTTCTCGATTAAGCAGCTGCTTAATCAAATATGGAAAGGTGGGGACAGACGGCTGACGACGACACCACACCAACCCCACCGCTGGCTGCAGCCCCCGTTTCTTGCAATAAGATAGATGTCCCAAGGTCTAGCAGATGAGCGTCCCATTCAAAAAGCCAATATTAGCTTGAAATTACCGTAGGGAGAAAGGCATCTTCGCCAGTTCCAGAGGGAAGACAATACCGCCGAAAGATGCGAGGATTCCCCTCTAAGGCACCCTATTGGACCGTTACAGATTTTTTTCGCATCGCCACCTCTATGAATCTGTTTTCGATTGCAGACCAGGTCATGACTCTTTAGGGCTCTTGAAGGTGCGCGTCTGCATGTACAGGCCGTCGGAGGGCCGAAGATCGGTGATAGCCTCCGGGATTGGCTGCTTGGCTGCTGAAACTTCTCTTCGCATTTGCAGGGACCATGGCTGGGGCCATGTGGTCTTCTGAGAGCGGGGGACGGCAGGCGTTGTTCAAGGAAAGGGGAGCAAATCACGCGCGGGCAGGTCCTCGCTGCCGTTCTGATTGCAAACCGTCCACGACGGTAGTGGGAATCAGCGGAGCTTGCCGCAAAAACGTCACTTCCAACGATCGGAAACGCGAATTGGACTTGACGGTGGATTACAGCGACAAGGAAAATGCATGCAGCAATGTAGGGTGCGGTGAAACCTCCACGCCAATCTCCAGAAGCAGTAGCAGCAGCTGCAATAGCAACGGCAGCAGGCCGCCGAAGCTTCAGCGACGGCTCAGTAGCAGGGTATCTGCTGCGCATAGCCTATCTAGTGCTCATCCTGCACGATACAGGAAAACAGATGATTCAGGGGGCGATGCCCCTAAGGTACACCGTGAGTTGCGGGGCCTCATTCTTGAAACGCCTTTAAAGAGCCGCCGAATGTCTGCATATTTCCCGGACTGGAGCCTCAATCAAAAGTTGGATTTGCTACTCAAGATGGGGATTGTAGCCACGACCAAGGTAAACGAGAGTGAGGAAGTTCATACTCTCAGCATCTGTGGTCAGTTCGCAGAAGAGAATCATTTGGCCATGCTGCAGGACAGTGACAGGGTTTCCTACTACAGAAAGGTCAGAATTATGTGCATGAATACCTCCACTTCCGGTCTTTTATTCTGTTGTCCTGTTTGTCGTCCATTGTGGAGCTGCTGTAGCTTATTCGCTCAAAACGGACAATGGCTAAATAGCTGCCCACGGCCGATGATACTTTTTAATTAACCTCAAACAAGCAGCAGAGACGTTCTTCGAGGACGCTTATTCCGTTGGTAGGATATAAGCATGGGCATGGTTTTGAGTGGGAGAAATGGGGAAGCCCGTCGTTTCTGTCTTCTTTGGATGTTCAGGCGATGAACTGGACAGGCGAAGCGAAGAGTGGCGGCAAGAAGCTCGTAGAAGGCCGTCGCGTTCTTGAAATAGGCACAGGCCCTATATGCTTGCTATCCATAAACGCAGTAAATGCAGGCGCCCAGCACGTTGTCGCTCTGGAGGCCTCCAGGCCTTCCCACTGCCGTGCAAAAAAGTTCGTTGAGGCCATAGGCATGAGCCACAAGATCGACATACTGCACGGATACTCGAAGCGTGTCCCTGCTGCCCTGTTCAAAAATCCAGAAGTTGTGATACACGAAATTATTGGCGACTTTGCTTCACAAGAGGGTGAGCTGTTGCTCAATTTCAACAAGATTCGTTCGAAAAATTCATCTTCAGAGGGGGTGGATAAATGGAGGGGATCCCTTCCAACTGGTTCCCAATCTAGGTCTGCAATGCATGTGCAGACGTTTTGTGGAATTTTCTTCAGGGGTCGCAGATGCGCTCCTCGATGTGCAAGAACGGACAGGTTCTATTCCACTGAGCATTCCATTTGGTGCCGAAACGCTCATTTGCCCTGCCAGCTTGCCGGAACCGGAGCACTTTCTCTATCCTGCTCACTCGTACGAAGTAAGCGCCCCCTCTGTACCTTTGTGTACTTCACAACTGTGCAGTCCCGAAATTCTCTCATCGCCTGCCCTCCCCTAAATATGGCCTTCCTCAGCCCTTTGCACCCGAGTGAACATTGTACTAGCTTGGTCGCTTTCGTGCCTCAAGTGTTGCAGGTGGCTCAGTGGATTGGTAGATTGGTTGCTATGCAAGCGACAAAAAGCTCCACCAGAGCACTAAGAAAAGCGTGCATAAATGTTTGATGCGTTATTTCGAATGCAAATGTTTGCAGGGCCGAAGTATACTTTCTCCGCGTCGTATTCTGTTACAGTCTGTCCGGCTGAACACAAGTCATTTGCTGCTTTGCGAAGATTTCCAGGCATTTGAGACGCTCAAATTTCAGGATCCTATGAAAGACCAGATGGAACAGAGAAGAGTACTGAACTTCGTCATCAGCAGACCTGGTTGTATGGCTGGTCTGCTCGCTGTTATCAAAGTGAGTACCAGACTACCTCCAACCTGAACAGGTCTGGCCGAGTCTTAAAGGCTGCAAAGAGCGACTTGCGTTGCCTGAGACGGGAATGTCCCCACATAAACGCGTCTACGCACCTGTAGCAAGCTAGCGGGAAGTATGTGTGCTGACAAGATTCACTTCCGGCGTTGTGTTCAGATTGAAATTTACCCGGGTGTGTTTTTCGGGACGTTCCGGAATGGGGAGACGGACTCGTGGTACACGTCATTGGTGCTGCTGCCGGAGGAGGTGAAAGTGGAGCCCGGAGATACCATTTGTGTAGAATCTTGCGCAGACATGCGGAATTATTCCAAAGTGCGCAGCTCCAAGCAGCCTCAGAAGTCGGGCTCTAAGACGGACTCACGCCCTGTTCTTGTCTCCAAGCCCACGTACTCGTTCACTGTCACAGTGTTCAAACCGTCTTTCAGCTTCCGCAGACCCTTTAAAAGTTTTTCGCCTATTATTGTTCCCTTCGAGGAGCAGGCGCCAGTCCTTTGTGGCGCTACCCGCAGGTACGCAGACAAACGGTAGCAGTCGTTTGTCAATGCTACGCTGTATCGATTTTTGGGATTGCTTACGAGCAGTTTGGTTTGCTTATTTGGTATTTTCCGTTTGCCAACAACTCCGTATGAATGATGTGTCATAGTTGTCCCCGTATGCGTACAAGTATTCGCAAAGCTTGAAGAGTTGAAACTGCAGAGGCTGCTGTGCCTTTCCGTACGGGAAGATCAGCGTTCTTCTCGAGAAAGGAGCCTTTCTCTAGTCAGGCGCGTCTTGCTAGGAGAGCGTCGACCCAATGTGGATGATTCGTGGGTGTGGAACATGCCCTTTTCCGCATCGTTCCTGTAGATATGTGGACACTTCGTCATGGATAACCCGGGGGTATTACGAGCAGGTTCCTCCATGTGTACTTCGCCGTGCACCTCATTTTGGCGCACTATACCGTACTGATGTCCGAATGCACTGCAGTAATATGCTAACTAGCCTATTTGGTTCCCATTAGAAGTCTCACATAGTATGCAGGTGGGCCGTGTGACAGATAGCGGCTCTAACAACACCTCCACCTAAACCAATACGATGCCTCCACCAGAGCGGCACATACTTCTGTGTGCAGCTACGGCAATTCTTACATACGCTACTATCTGTGCATGCCGTTTTTGGCAGCTGGCAATTCTGTTCCTTTGCAACAGCTACCCTACACTCCCCGCGCCGCAGGCAAGGGCACCGCACTAGTACGTCTACACGTGGCGAGCGCAACAAGGTTGGAATTACACCCGCTTCTGTGCGCTTAAAGGCTTAAATATTGTGGGCTCGACGTGTTCGCAGTTTCGGGCATGCAACGTGACATGCCTACGACACAAATCCAAGCCCGAACCTCTCAACAGGAAGTGTATTATAAAAAAGGCAGACATGTATTTACACTACATTACATTGTCCGCCACGTTGAGATGTACACAAGGCAAACTGTACGCCCCCATTGCCGACTGCATGCGGCATATGTCATATCAACGTGCCATACCACGTCAATATATAGGGATAGCCAACTTCCACCCCACACGGAGTATTTACTGCTGTGCAGCTGCAGGGTCCGCAACACGGCCGCTAAAAAGAATAAGATTGGTGTCCCCATCTACGAAGCGCAGCTGGAAGATGAAGGGTTTATCCACCGTAACGTGGATTGGTGTCTTTGGCATGGGCATGGCGCGCAACATCATGATCATTGCAGATGCAGCAGTGGCTTCTGTGCCTTCCTCGTTCACGTCGATATCTGCCTGATGCACAAAAGAAGAAACGAAGAGGTCTCGGTCTCCAGTGATGCCTGTGAAGTCGGCCTTTGCCATATCGAACATGTCCGTGGCTCCCAGCCTGCCGAAAATCTCTGTCAGGTCGACCTTGTTGTCATCTGCGGACAACTTGAACTTCGGCAAGGTCAAAAACAGTTCCTCTTCGAACGATCTGTCCATAGCTGAGCTCTCCATGTCTGCAAATGTTTTCTCCAGAATCTGGGGGTCACTGATCATCGATTTCTCGAAACTGGCAAGGTCCTCGGGCATCACGATATACAGGCGAAGACGAGGGTCTGTGTAAGGCAGCCCTACTGCCAACGCTTCTCTCTTCATAGATACCAAAAGAGGTGCCTTGTCCAGCTTCCCCTTCATGAACATCACCTGTTTAGGACCAGAGGGTGTGAAGAAGACACCCTGGCTTGTGGATGCACCTTCGAACTGCTGCAGCCATGGGGCTTTGAAGTACAGTGCATTCACCAATACAAGGCGCGTCTGTGCCCCGAGAGCGGAGGGGCTAATGAGGTTCTTAATGTGGTCGCGCGTGGTAGTAGCGACGAACGTATTGATTTTATCGGCGGCAGCTACGCCGTCTGAGAAGTCGAGAGTTTCTGCACTCTGCTTCTCCTTCTCCAACTCTTGCTTGAATTTGTTGAACTGCTTGTTGTCCTCCAGTCCAGGGTGAACGTAGAGGCGGTTTGCAACGTCGACGGCGACAGCACCATCTTTCTGCGGTGGCTGCATAAGCTCGGGGATGTCAAAGCTCTCCGTGGGACCAACGAGTGCATCCATCTGCTCCCGGGTTTCCCCCGCAGCACCCCTCTGTGCAGTGTGAAAAACGCTAAAAATACTAAATGGGGAAAATACGAAATTCGGCTTCGCCTCCAAGCTAGGTCCGGCAATTTCGCCATAGAGGCGCTCTGCCGTCGTGGTGGAAGGGTCCATTGCATAGACTGTGGAACCAAGCGAAATCGCAGATGCTATGGCAGCAGCCGGGCTAAGCCGAATTAGTTTACTTAAAAGTGCCATTTTGGGCTAACGGCGTCCGTCTCAGCCAACCGCAATAGAAACCCGCAACGGGAGAGGCTGCTATGCTCACGACCGGCTGCTGCCGTATATGACCAGAGAAAGTTGTGGCTCCAGAGCCGGGCAAGGAAAACAATTAAAAGGCGAAATAAACAAAAAGCAAGAAAAACTAAGTCAACTGTAGTTACAAAAAAGAAATGTTATCCAAAGTTCAGCGAGAACAACCGAAGCACCAGCGAACGCGTTCGCCTTGCTTTCTGTTGTGATGAGGCTCTCGCTCGTTGGCCTGTCGTGGGATCATGGCTCTCGGCTCACTGAGCGAAAACAGCAGCTGCATCGTCTCCTATGCAGACTATACAGTTTTAAATAGAATTAAGAAATAGTATATAGTAATGCGCACAATAGTAGCAGTATCTCGGGGACTGTAACCTGTGACAACAGGGCAGCTGGTTGCAAGATACCCAGGAAACCGATTGTCAAGTTTGCAATCGCAGCCGCATTAATAAGGCCGAGGGAATCGATTGACGAGTTAGTTCGTATAAAATGGTGTGTTTTCCATTTGCTGGGTTTTGAGTAGCCTCCCAGCTATGTGGCGGAAACTCGTGCAGAGCACGTGACTGGTTGGCGGCTCCTCGACATCCTAGGACTACCGCGAGCTGCAGTGGAGAGAAAACGCTAACGAAGAGGCTTCCATCGATAGAGCTGACTGTTTACCCCAGTCTTCTGTCTCCGTTCATTTTGAGCTCAGCGAGTACAGCCCCCGGAGGTGCTTGGGAGGAGCTGGCCTGGCGTGGGCAGCTAAGTACCTTGTTGCAACTGAAAGTGCAAAACAGCACCCCGAGCAATAATAAGCACGCCATTCTCACTGTACGTACAAACGCTGTAGCGGGTTGCTGAGAATTGTTGCTTGTGTTCCTTCAGTGTACTAGGGTCGGGTAAGGGTTCGTCAACCCACAACAGACAAATTTGTCAAGGTTGCACAGACTACGCTACTGACCCTCTTCAACATCCTACGCCTTCTAAAATGCAAGGAGTGGCTTCAGGGGGAGTGGATCATATTGTGGCGGTTGTGTGTCGCCTGACTGATCGCAAGAGCTTCTTTATTAGCCGTTACATTCAGCGCAGTGCTGTACGCAATTAATCCTCCATCGTCAAGCACCACATCCTGAAAAATGTGCGGTTATTTAGTCTACACAGGGATTTGTAATGAAGTTGTAATGGGAATTAATGATAACTTTCGGCACTGACTACTATTCAACGACCGTTGATAGCTGTGAGAAAGCACTAACAGAACAACCTGTTAAATGCGTCGAAACGCAGCTGAGACCCTTTCAGCCCACAGCGGGTTTCTGAACCCAGCAGAGACAGGAAGCCATCTTCCTATGCATGCAAAAAAAAAAAAGAACAGGCACTTTTACCTGAATCATCACCGGTCATGAATTAAAAGCGTCAAACGCTTTTTCCGTTAAAAACTGGAAGTACTAACAATCCGTTGAGACCCTTCAAATCCCACAAACTCTTTAGGATAGTGCGGTGACGAGTTGCCCTGGCATTGACTCGCGTCACACACGTTGCTCCTACTGCTTCGGTACGGTAACCCCACAAGCAAGCAGACACGGGGTACCTTGTATTCACTACACCAAAGGCAATTGCAAGCTATGTTTACTTACTCTCAGCTTGGCTCATGAGGACAACAATTACCAACTTGAAGCAGAACATGCTTCACATTTTGACGCAGTTGCCGGCTACAGAACTTTGCAGGCTTCCCACCTTAAACGCTCAATTTTCCGTTTTCTGCTCCATTTCACATTAGGCGTGAGCTGGAAAGAAAGGTCGTCTCGGGATGATGAAGAAAAATTCACCACTTTACTGCATTGCATTTTAGTACAGGCTGCCACGAAGGCGAGAGGTATCACCATACACATGCGAACTACTCAGCTTTCTAGAAGTCCTTTGAACGATCATTTCGCAGGATTAATTCTTAATTATACAATTTATGCTGTAAAAGATACGCACAATTTGTGAAGGTACGGCAGACAGCGACAGTGGTTAGAAATGGGGCCCCTCTCGTTAGAGCGTTTGATCCGTGGGGCATTTGGCTTGTCGGTGTTCGTCTTGAGCAAAAAATTGTGGCGTACTTCCAATGCCTTTATTTTCAGAGATTTCCTTCTTTCTAGGTGGTAGACAGAAGGGAAAATAGCCCTTACCTCCTTTAGAATACGCGTTGTGTCACCTCCGACACACCGGCTGAATCCCTTGGAAACTTGGCTGTTCCTGTCCTATGACTCATCATTATTCTCCGTGTTGCTATTCTTTGACACATTAATGGTATTTGCGGTCTGAAAAGGGAGTCAGGGCAAAGAAGTTCCGTGTCAAACGGCAATCACGGCAACAGCCACGAGCTCAGGCGCTGTGCAGCCAGCATCGCCGAGGGTAGTAGAAATAAGTACAAATTCGAATTAACGTTATTACACCGGCACTTACGAAGGTTGCGGCGGCGGATCAGCTGGGGCCCAGCGGGCACGACGCAGTGGCAGTCGGAGCAACTGCACTGACGCCATTCTCTCTATCGCCACACGTTAGACACACAGGCTGATTGATCATGATGGGAGTACCTCCTGCTGAGCGTCTTCTCGCGTTGGCGGTGGTTGTATGCGTGGGCCTCTTATCGCTTTTTTCCGCGGCAGAGGTAAGGAGGGTAGCAGAAGCTAGCCCTAGATGTTACCGTCAAGATATGATGGGAGACTAGCCGGTCCAGCTGCATAGCTTTTGTGCCATTTCAATTTCTTTTTGCAACAACTCAGTCACAGGAATGGACTCATATTTGTATTCCCCTTCAGCAACTGCAGCAACCGCAGCAACCACAGAAGTATCTTTTATGCCTTTTGATGTTGTTTTTGTAACGAAACAGCCAAAGGAATGGGCTCATATCTTCATTCCCCTTCAGAAATTCTCCCTCCAGCTTTGCCTTTCCCCTCTCATCTGCCCCATGACACCTACATTGTCTTGTCAACTCCCCTGCGCAGCTTTGTTTCGTCTTTCACAACGCACAAATTTTAGCTGTGTGGTTACCAGCGTTCACCAGTAACTGAATATCGGTGCGGCTGAGGTGATGTGCTCGCAGGCTAGCAGTCAGATGTCTTTGACAGGCTACAGGCCTCTGCAGTATAAAGCGGCGGCGAACTTCCCGTTGGGCCCCTGGGGCCGCGTTTATCTCCAGGGGGCCCCTTTGTGCACATGCGAAAAGTTGTTAGACGGCTTGGGAGGAGCGACTACACCTACCTCCCGATTCCTCTGCGTTTCAAGGGCAACGGCTATCAACTCCCAGCAGGTAAGCCCGATACATCTAGCATGGACATGTAGCTTAGTTGTGTCCTTTCCTTCTTGTTTGTATTTTGTGCGGACACGAACGTGAATGTGCAATTCTGTACGTCCCGCGTGTTGATTTTGCAAACGGCTGGCAATAGTAGCATCGCATGAAGCGAGTGCATATCATGCTTTGCAGTTTTCCTTGCTTTGTGCCGAAGGTGGAGAAGCTGTTGGGTATGTCGCATTTCGTGCTGCTGTTGCTGCCCCCGATAGGGGTTCCCCTGAACGCAGCAGCAGCAGAAGAAATAAAACAAATGGAGAAATTGCTGCTCGACAGACACAGCGCTGCTGCTTTTGCTTTTGCACGGGAGACAAAAGATGCAACAGCGTTGCTCGAGAGGCTGAATATTGATGGTAAGGAATAGCAGGCGTGCATCTCAGTATCTGTACGCGGATGTGTGAGAGCATGCAATTATTTTTACGTACTTAATGCAGTGTATCCTTAAATAGTGGAAAACGGATGCTGCTGCACACCTAGATAATGCGGACTGCTGGTCGTTACGTTTAACTGCTGCTAGTTGCTACGAGCTACTTCTCCTGCCACCGGTCCCCCATGCTCGAAATTCCGGCTGCTATTAGCTGTTGCTGCGCTTGCTGACTCCTGCCGCTCCCTCCTGTTGTTGGCGCCACCTCAGAGGAGTACGAGAACGCTCCCGCTAGGACACGTATGCTGCGGCCCTTCTTAACGGCACACAGCTCTTTGGTCACGGAGCTGCAACCAATCAAGTCTGTCAAGGGCGTGACGCTGACGGTTCGTCTGCTGCATTTGTCTTTGCGTGCACTTGGGCCTGCCTGTCGCTGCGAAGGCAGATCCAATAAACAGCGTCGGCCGGACGTAGAAATATCTGTTTATGCGTAGTAGTGATGATATGTTTGTATTTTCGGGCCAGAGGGTATACGCAATCAGGGTTAAGGGGTTTAAGTTTTGGCCCTCTGTGGGCAATGGACTATCATCATGGCTAGGTCAGTTATGCATGTATTTTTTATGGTGCGACTTATTGGCGCCGGTTTCACTTTGAGACGTGTTCATTGTAGCAACAGTATTGCATTTTGTTTGACCTGGTGGCTTACTTGTGAGGGATTTACGGTCTACATGTCGTGTACAAGTCGTGTTTCAATTTCTTTTGATGAACGAATTTATTTCTTGTTGCTTGTTTTTGTTCAGTCTTGGCTCAACGGGCAGTCTGGGCCAGAAGGCGCTGCCCCTCCAACAATTGTATTTGTGGCGCATCACGACGCCTTTGCTGCAGTTCCCGTGAGACATCCTACAATCGTTTAATCCGTGTCAGCTTTCCCTAGGGTAGGAAGTACATTTTCGAGCCGTGCCTAGTGTGCATGCCCCTCCAAGGTGCATGAGCATCCTCTTCACGTTATAAGGGTGACGACGATTCCAGAATCCCTTGTGCTTTCGTGTGCGCAGCATTTTGCGACAGGCGTCAGCACAAGCGCGAGTGGACTCATCAGTAAGAGCTGGGCGCCATTGCTTCTTGAAGGGCTCGTGTGTGCTCACGAATATGCGTGCATGTATACGCGCCATTACACTACAAACGGGTACTCCTGGTGTTCTTGATGGAGTATTCGTGCGTAGATGCATATGCACTTCGCACTGTTTGTATAAAGTTCCTCCGCACCATAGAGCAGGTGCTGAGAGAATGCCAGCGCTTACCTTCAACGCTGCAGACGAAGCTGCAAGCGCTTCAGAAACCACCGGCTCTTGTCGCAAGTGAATAGGTTTTTATTTTTTCGTTATCAAGAGGCTTTGTTAGAACGTTCTTAAATTTGATGCTCTGTATCTGGTGTCATTCGCATGCAGCTCTCATGTGGCTGGCTCGGGAACTGAAGAAAATTTACAAACAGGAACCTCTCAAGTACAGCGTTGCCTTCGTATTGGCGGATGCGAGCGCAATGAACTACGAGGGACTTGCGGAGTGGATTGGCCGCACAGACCCTAGGTGAGGTGTATTCAGTTGTGAAGGCAATTCACTCATGGGGCTGGGGTTCTACAGCATTTAAACTGGATGCTTGAGCAGCTGCGTCCTTACCTGTTGTTCTTTGCCTTGCAGCTGCACGAACACTGCATGCGCCCACATATGATGGTAGCAGCGCGTAGGCACCCGTGGCATTGATTCTCAGTGGGTTTTGGGTAGTTAAGTTCCACCATGCGATTTTTTTAATGCGGAGCGGAAGGCTCAAGTAAAGTAATCCTTCTGTCTGTATAATTCTGTCGTTTTTAATGTGGCACCGCAGACTGCTGAACGCCACGCGATACGTCCTATGTTTGGACAATCTGGCTTCTAGCTCTTTGAGCCTACACACTCCAAAAGCATACAAAGACCCCGAGGCCTCGCGTTTCTTACAGGTTCGTCTAGCAGTGAATAGTTGGCGATTGGCGCTATCTCAGGCTCGGTGCTTCCTGTGCAACTTGTTTTGAGTGTCTGTTCTGTACGTGCTGCTGCTGACGAATTGTTGGGTGCAAATTGTAGACTTTGGAGAAGGCTTTGAAGGAGGAAGGCGTACACATGAATACCCGCCCAAAGAAGATCGCTGCAGGGGACAAGGTGTTGTCTTTTTGGCCTCATGAACATTTCACAAGGGCGAAGCTCATTGCTGGCACACTCTCAGCAGAGCCTGAGCTCAAACACCTGTGGAATAGAAGCTCTCTGGCGGACGACAGGTAAAAGCAGCTAGTTGTTATAGATGAGCCGCTTGCTGTTGATTGTAGCCGATACTTCATGTAAGCATCGACAGATGGAAACTGGCACGGGCTTTTCTAAATTGTGGTGGCCTGCGCTCATCTTCTTCTGTTTTGCGTTGTGTGTTTGTCCGTTTCCCACTCCGTTGTGCTGCCACAGCCTAAGTAAAGACGCTCTTGTAAAGACTGTTCGGGGCCTTTCAGAAGGCACTGCACGATTTTTGGCCAACTCGAAGGACCACAAAACTCGCTTGACATTCAAGGGGGACGGAGAGGCTTTGAATGATTTCATCAGCTCATGGGTTCAGTTATGTAAAAAGACCCCCAGGCAAGCTGATGCTGACACAGATATACTTGCATGCATGCACAGGCATTATTGCATCCGTGAAGCACCAACGCGCTGTTTTACTGCAAATAGGTTCAAAGGCACATGTCGAAGCCCATGCATCCAGAAAGCGTTATTGCCGTATGAGAATGAATGTATTTGCTGTGCAGGATCGTACTTGTTCCTGTTTGGTCTTAGCACATTTTCACTGCCAAATGACCGCACAACTAGCTATCCAACTAGCTCTCCATCTTGCTGCTTGAGCGTTCGCTACATTTGTATCTGTGTCTAGATATATCCGTCATGCTGTGTGTGAACTTGTCTTACTTCAGGTTCTTCGCCTACAGAAATGTAGATGAATACATGGGTTCCTCCTCTGCAAACCGTGTGTTTTTGAGGTCCTTGGCTGATGAGATGGAAAACTCCGGATTGTCTACTGAAATGCACGAATTCGACGTAGACTTGGGCGGCTTCTCTTTCGCCTATGTACGGCTTGACAGCTGCTAGTTTTTCCCTACTTCTCCTGTGTTCGGATATTGATGCGGAGGCGGCAAAGTAAAAGCTACAAATAGCAGCAGTAGCTGCTTCCTTAGTTGATGACAATTGACACACTAGAATAGGCTTTGTCAACTGCGCGCGCTGCATCTACACCGTGAAGAGTGTAATGCGAACTGAATGGAATGTTCACGAGTTTCACCTCCACTAACTGTTTGTTTACCGTGTCTTTCTGCTACACCGGAGCCTGACAGGTATATGCTGCGTATGCGTAGTCTTGCCCAAAGTACTGCCTCTGTGTTGCTCGTTGTTTGCCTTCAGGAACCGCCTGTGACAATTGAAATAGCAGAGACGCGTTCTACTTTCTTCGACTGGCTTATTCTTCTTGGAGCTGCTGCATATTCCATTGCAATTTACTTGGCTATCCGTGGCGTCATGTCTACCAAGTTACTGGAGGGTGAGCCCCCATACACGGAGGCCAACATACATGTTGAGGACAACAGAAGTGTGCATGTACCTAGCGGGACATACGTAGAATGATACAAACATACATACGTACATACATACATATATGAGGAGTGATACAGATACTGACTGCGTGAGGTGAACAACGGTGGGGCTGCAGCAGGAGCCATTGCTTACTTACTCCGTCTTTTGGTGTCTCTCTCTTGCCTGTTTTTCCCTCTTAGGGGCATCCGCGTCCTTGAGCGCTGTCTCTCCCTTGAGCAGCCGAAATTCCCCTGGCTCTAATGAAGGGAAAGCGAAGATGTAGAAGTGTGATTAAAAGTGTGAATAGAATATTAAGCCTGTTGTTGCTTTTATTGACAAAGCTTTATTTGCATGTTAAGCACGTAACTTGCAGGGAGAGGGAATAAAGACTAGAAGTACGACGGATGCGTGTGAGTTAACCCCATGCATTTGATCTTCTCCTTCTCCCTCGCCCTCGCCTACCGTAAGAATACGCGCGGCTTGAGTATCGGATCTTCATTTTTGCCTCAATATCTTGGGCTTCTTTCCTCCACACCCTCCCCCTCCGCTTTCCCTCGATTTTGTTTTGCCGATATTGGAGCTTCCCTTGATCCAAAAAGTGGCAAACCGTCGAGCTTCCGCATGCAAGGAGCGCACCGAGGCGTGCTGCTTCCTCTTTAGTTTGCAGCGAATAGCACAGTGCTTAGATGTAAAGAATTGTGCTTTCGCTGTAACTGCCAACTTCTTTTACTTCTTATGCCACTAATTATTCTACAGCTGTCGGCAGTGTCGCTTCAATATATCTTTCTTTTCCCACCCTTCAGACTCTCGCATTAATATAGAGCCTCCCCTGCAAGTGCAGCAGCAGCTGATAGGGTACAACAACAAGACAGCAGAGGCTGCAGACGCAACACTCATAAATTACCTCCCTTGTTTTATTCGTCGTCTCCTTTTACTGACTTGTCCTCTAACCCTCTGTTTCCCACCCTAGGACTCGAAACCGTAAAACCCTAAACCCTTAACCCTAGGTAGTTCGTCAAAAGGCCCCCTTAGGGGTATGCAAAGAGGCAACAAGTAAAAGAGCATAAAAAGAATTAAGAGAGCAAATGCTAAGCGGCTGCCACATTTTCATTGAAGAGCCGCAGCAGCATCTGCTGCAGGGAGCAGCAGCAGCAACACTCGCTGCTCTGACACCTGCAGCAGCATGAGCAGCACCAGCAGCAGTTGGTGCTGCTCTCCCCTGAAGCAGTGCTACTGCCGTGGCACTGCGCCGCCCCGTTCCATCCAAGCTAGTGCATGAATTGCACGCATGTACTAGCTTGCATGCAGATAGCAGCAGGTAAGCAGGCCTAGCCTTCGAGAGCTGCGAGGATGACCTCTAATCGAGCTTGAGGGTCGAGATAAGTTACCTTGTTTCTCCCCCCGCTTCTTGCTGCTTTGCTTCTGCTTGCTGCTTTCTGCTGCTGCTGCCTCTGCTGCTGCTGCTTCTCTGATGCACGCTCCAGCAACGACTGCCGCAGCTCGTCTCCGCAGTGCAGCAAAGTATCCACTGAAGCAAAAGAGAAGATACCCAATTGATTATAACTTTCTAGTGTCCCCATTATGTCTGTCTCTTCTTCAGGGAAGGTGAGGCCCCATGGACCTGCTGCTGCTGCTGTTGTTGTTGTTGCTTCTGTTGCTCCTGCTGCTCCGGTTGCGTCGTCCCCAGCTGCAACGGCTTCTGAGCAGTACATGCAGCTCGTGCTGTTCGCATCATCCGCGTCAACGATCTCCACAGAGTCGGTAGGCGATGTAGGGAGGTCAACGGAGCTTAATTGCTGCTGGTGTTGCTTACCGCTTCCTGCTGCTGTAGCTGCCGCTAAGCTGCTGACGGCCAGGGAAGTAAGTCTCTGGGCGACCAGAACTGCCCTTTGGGCCCCCTCTGCGGCTCTTTGCATGCGTCTGCGGGAGGTGAGCCGCTGCTGCAGCGCGAGGGCCTGAAGGCGCCTGCACTGCAGCAGCGCAGCAGCAGATCCGTTGTCTAGACACCGCAGAGCCCCTGGTAGATCCCCGTGCTGCAGCAATGCAACAGCCCCTAGTGTAAGCTCTCCTACGAGGTCACATGCAGATTCAGCAGCAGGAGAAGGGACAGGTGACAGACATAAGGGAGCCATCTTGCCTACAGCAGCAGCAGCAAACGTGCATGCATCCGTGCTGCAGGAAGACGAAGGGCCCCCTCTCTCTGCCTTCCCCTCCATGTTCAAACTGCATGCTGCTTGGTCCCCTGCATCTGCTAGGGGCCCTCCAGCCACTTCTATCCACTTGAGGGCCCTTGCTGCAGCAAGGTAGGCCTTTAAAATGCTGCGTATGTGCTGCATGCGCTGTCTCCTGATCTCCTGTGGGTCAGCGGCAGCAGCAGCAGCACCGGCCCCCGAAGACAGGGCCCCCCCCAGGGGCCCCTCCTCTCTCCATGCCATAAGCTTACAATAAAGCAGATCTAATGCATGCAAAGGGGCGACTAATATGTCTCCTGCTTGTATATTTAAAAGCGACAGCAGCTGCAGCTGCTGCCCTTTGCTGCCGCGCTGCAGTCGCCATGCTGGCAGCAGCGGGGCCTCCGCTAGTCCCCACGGCAGCTCAAGAGGCTTCTCTAAAGGAGGAATAACAAAGTGCTGCAGCAGCAGCTCCTGCTGCTGCCACCGCTGCTGCTGCTCACAAACACTCTCCGTCCAAGGTGGCACTTCGTATGGCAATAATATGCCTGCTGCTGCTGTTGCTGCTGCTGCTGATGTTGCTGCTGGTGTTGGTGTGGCTAATTCTACTACTGCTGCATCTGCATCTCCTGATGCATCTGCATCTGATGCAGCAGCAGCTGCTACTGCTGCCGACACGGAAAGTTTCCCGTCCCCTGAGGTATCTCCCACTGCTCCAGCAGCAGCAGCAGGTGCTGCTGCTGCTGCTAGTGCATGCAAGTGACGCAGATAAGGATGGGTGCGCATAACAATATGGAGACAGTTAAGTGCTGCTTCAAGAGGAGGAGACACCTGCTCCTTGTGTGGCCCCACACCATCTAACACAAGACCCACAAAGCGGCGGTCTACTTGTATACAGAGGGCCCCCTTAAGGATAGCTATTAGTCTGCGGCAACAGACAGCAGCAGTAGCAGCAGCAGCAGCAGCAGCAAACATACACAACACAAACTATACACCGCAGCAACAGCAACAACAGCAGCAGAACTGCATACTCTGTAGCTAACAGCACACAGGCAGCAAACAATGCAAAGGAACAGCAGCTACACCAGCAACAGCAGCTGCTGCATCAGAAGCAGCAGCAGCAGCAACAACAACAGGATGACTATACCTTTGTATCAGTGCTTCCCTTGGGGGTTTAGACAATTCAACAAAAGAAACTAGGTTTCTCCATGTGTCTGCTGCATCATCATCGGGTGTACATGCACCTTTGCTGCGCTGCTGCTGCTGCTGTTGCTGCCTGCCTGCAGCAGCACCACCACTACTACCACCACGACCCGACGACTTAGCAGCAGCATCCTTAAGGGCATCCTCTATAAGGCTCTCTGCTGCTGCTCGTGCTGCAGCAGCATCCTCCCCGTCCCTCCATACAGCAATACATACATCAGGAGCAGCAGCAGCTGACGCTGCATTTGCTGCAGCAGCTCTTGCTGCAGCTGACGTTGCAGATGAACCAGTAGCAGCTGTTGCAGCATCAGCAGCAGGACCATCCCCTTGCGCGAAGGGGCCCCGGGGGCCCCCTTCCCGTCGCCGCAGCAGCAGCCGCTGCAGTTGCTTCTTTGACAGCGACCATAAGTCATAAATACTAAGACGTACAAGCGGCTGCAGCGGCGTGTCTCCTTGATCTGCTGCTGCTGCTGCTGCTGCAGGTGCTGCTGCTGCTGATGTTGCTGCTGCTGTTGTTGCAGCTCCTGCTGCAGGGGCTGTGGTAGGGAGAGCCTGCATGAGTCCCTCTATATGTGTTGCTTCTCTTAATGTCTCTTCTTCTGCTGCAGCAAAACAAGAAGCTAAAGCAGCAAGATTAATTAATTCTTTGCTGCAGCAGCCACGGGGTGTAACGACAACGAATACACCAGGAGGGGAGCATGCTGTATCCTCATTAGCACGGAGACGACGCTTCTTCTTTTCTCTTCCTGCTGCTGCTACACCTGCTGCTGCCCCGGCTGCATCTGCTGTTGTTCCCGCGGTAGCTGAGGCAGCTAGCGTTGTTACGGGCTGCCCAGCTGCAGCAGCTGCAGCAGCAGCACACGATCGTGCTGCAGCAGACAGCAGCTGATGAAGAGCAGCAGCAGCATCGTCATGCCCTCCTATCTCTGCAGCAGACACGGGCCTAAAAGCTACAGGCCATGTCTCCCTTAAGAACAGCAAATCTAATCCCCCTCCAGCCACCTGCTGCTGCTGCTGCTGCTGCAGCTGCTGTACCTGCTGCTGCTGTTGCTGCATTTGCTGCTGCTGCTGATCCCACTGAACTAACTTGTTCTCCTTTTCTGCCTCTCCCTCGTCTTGCTGCATGTGCTCTTCCTGCTGCTCAACTTTTGTCTTAATCTCTTCCTTGTGCTGCAAGTGCTGCTGCTGCTGCTGTTGTTGCTGCTGCTCGTGCTGCTGGTCAACTTGCATTGCATCTTCTGCTGGCTGTGACTTAACACGGTCCTCTGGGAGGTCCTTTTCCTCTTGGTGCTGCTGCTGCTGTTGCTGCTGGTGCTGTTCGTTCTTCTGTTGTTGTTGTTGCTGCTGGTGGTGCTGTTCCTGCAGCAGCTGCTGCCGCTGCTGCAGCACACCATTAAGAGCTTGGTTAACGATAGCAGCAAGAGGCTGGCAGCTGCGGTGATGCAAAGGAGAGAATCTTGCTGCTGCAGCATCAAGAGACACCCCAAGGGCCTCTAGTACCTGTGACTCACTGATAGTTGCTTCTCCGTCTGCTGCTGCTGCTGCTGCTTCTCCTGCTGCCCCTGCTGCAGTAGAATCAGAGGGGGCCAGACACCCCGTTACTGTCCATCGGGCTCGCCGCCGACACCGAGTTGTCAATACACCTGAACGAACACACCCCACATGCGAAGCAGCAGCTGCAGCTGCAGTAGCAGCAACACGACAGCAGCAGCAACACGACAGCAGCAGCAACACCACAGCAGCAGCAGCAGCAAGTGGGCTATTTACCTGCTGCCTCGATAGCAGCACGAAGAGCTGCTTCTGATGTAAAGACAAAGGGCCCCGATAGATATACACTAGGAGCACCTCTGCATGCACCCCAGCAGGAGGGCCCCTCAGGTGCTGCTGCTAGCAGCTGCTGGAGATATGTAGAGGGGGAGGGGGTGTCAGCAGCAGCAGCAGCAGCAGAAGCAGCAACAGAAGGAAGCAGCAAAGAACAAAGCCTATCTAACCATTGGCGACTTGCTGCTGCTGCTGCATGCTGCTCCTGCAACAAGCGCAAACGCTCCTGTTGCTCCTGCTGAAGCTGCTGCTGCTGTCGCTGCTGCTGCTGTTGCCGCTGCTGCTGCTGCTGCCGACGCAAACTCTCTGCGTCCTGCTGCTGCTTCGACGACTGGTGCGGCGCCTTAGAAGAAGCCCCTCGGGAGGATGTCTTGCTGCTGCTGCCGCTGCTGCTGCTGCTACTGCTGCTGCTGCTGCTGCTGTTTGCAGGCGAGCGAATAGAACCTGTACTAGCTCTCGCTTTCCTGTCCCGAGGAGAAGCTCGCGTTGCTGCTGGTGCTGCTGTTGCTGCTGCTGCTGCCTTGCGTTGCCCCCCAAAGATTTGGCTCCAAGGGCCAGTAAGCTCCCGACTATTCCCTCCGCGACGTCCTTGCCTCTCTTGGGGTACCTCCTTTTGCTGCTCCTGCTGCTCCTTCTGCTGCTGCTGTTTTTGCTGCTGCTGTTGTTTTTGCTGCTGCTGTTGTTTTTGCTGCTGCTGCTGTTGCTCCTGCTGCTCCTCCTGGCCATCGTCGTCAACATCTATAGTCTCAACACTCGCAGAATCAGCAACAGGAGGAAGTCGCTTTTGACCTTTACCAGACCTCTCGGAGCTCTCAGCAGCAGCTGCTGCAGCTGCTGCCGCAGCAGCAGCAGCAGCAGCAGCAGCAGATGCCTTTCTGGCCTGCATGAGCCTGCGGCTTCTCTTGGGGCCCGTTGGCTCGTCTTCAACAGCAGCATCTGCAGTAGCTGCAGGTGCAGCAGCTGCAGCAGAAGCACCATCGTGTCTGCTGCTTCTTGGCGAAGCTGCAGCAGGAGCAGCAGCAGCAGCAGGAGCAGCAGATGCAGCAGACACATCCACCATGCGGCTTTTCCTCTTACCCCTTGGAGGGGTTGATATTACAACATCGCATGCATCGGACAGCACAATCCCCTCTTCCTGCTGCTGCTGCTGCTGCTGCTGTTGCTGCTGTTGCTGCTGTTGCTGCTGTTGTTGCTGTTGCTGTTTCGTGCGTTTCTTGGCTGGCTTCTTAGGGGAGGGAGGCGGCGGGCAGGAGGGAAAGAAATGATGAAGGGCCCGCTGCTGCAGCTGCTGCCCCTTTGTTGCTGTTGCTGTTCCTGTTGCTGCTGTTGCTGCTGCCGACTGCCGCCGTTCCCGCTGCGTCTCCTCATTGCTGGTACTCCCACCCTCTGCTGCGTCATTGTCTTGCTCTCCTGCTGCTGCTGTTGCTGCATCAGCAGCAGCAGCAGGTGCTGCAGCAGCAGCATCAGCAGCAGGCTGGGTGTCTCCATCCCCCTCTGGAGCTACTGCTGCAGCAGCAGGAGGAGAGGCATCTGCGTCTTGTATTTCTGGTTGTGCTGTTGCTGCTGATGTTGCTGCTGCTGTTGTTGCTTCTTCTTCTGTTTCTGCTGCTGCTGCTGGCTGCTGCGTTGCTGCTGCTTCTGCTGCGGGCTCGGTGGTGCTCATTATCCCCTCCACTTTATTCGCAAGACAAGTGGCTGCTGCTGCTGCTGTTGCTGCTGCTGTTGCTGCTGCCGCTGCTTCCGTTGCTGCAGAAGATATATAAATGAAAGAGAGGAAAGGTACTGGGAATAAGCACACCGAGGCTTGCTGCTGCTGCAGCAGCAGCAGCAGCAGGTGTAGCTCTGTGGCTTGTGCTGCTTCTCGTTGTGCCTACAGTGCAACAGCAGCAGAACGGGGCTGGCAATCACTTCATTGCTGTTTGCTGCTGCTGTTGCTGTTGCTGTTGCTGCTTGTCCTGCTGCTGTTGCTGCTGGTGTTATTGCTGCTGGTGTTGCATATATGCGCAACGAACAACAGGGAGCCTTGTAGCCGTTCCCCCTGTTATAGCTTCTGCTGCTTCTGCTGCTGCTGCTGCTGCAGCAGCAGCCCCAGCAGCAGCAGCAAGAGCAAGACCAACGGAGGCAGCAGCAGCAGCAAAAGCAGCAGGTTGGGTCCTCTCCTTGGTATCAGACCGTGTGTGGGGTGTTTTAGCTTTTCTCTGCTGCTGCTGCTGCTCCTTGCTGCAGTCTTCTGCTGCAGCAGCAAAAGCCCTAAACCCTAAACCCTAAACCCTAGCCCCAGGTGCTGCAGGTATTAAAGGAGAAAAAAGAATAAATAAATTAATTAAAAGGGAATTAAATAAAAGGAAAATAAAGACATAAAAAGATGCATGCATGCTGCAGCAAATGGTGGGGTTGTTGTTGTACATACCGCTGAGTGTATGCAGGGAGGGAAGTATAATTCCTCTTCTTCTTTTTATTTATTTGTTTATTTATTTATTTTATTTATTTATTTGATTTAATTTATTTATTTAATTTAATTATTATTTACTTTATTCAATTCATTCAATGAATTTATTCACGCAATACAGCAGGTAGGCCAACAGTAGCTAGTTGGGTACCACTTGCTGTCTTGCAGCAGCAGCAGCAGCAACAGCAGCAGCAACAGCGGCGGCAGC